CTTCAAATGCCGCCATTGGTGGGGGCCACTGCAAATGACCAGTCAATGGTCGTGTTTGTTTGACACGGATCTTGATCCATCGTTGGTTTACAGACACCAAAACTCACCTAATAAATGGTGCGAACCAGCATTAGGATCACTGATCGAGATTCAGATCCGTGTGAAACAAACAGGCCCCTTGTTAACATGGTCTCCAATTCGTCTGTAAACCTTTACCATGATGCTGCCATGTTTGTCTTGTTCCCAGTAGACCAACTGGCAACAGTAATACAACTACTTCACATGATAAAAAGGAACAGAATATTTTTCCTTCTAGCCTCAGCTTGCTTTGAATGGTAGAAAAGCAAGATGGCTGCCCCAAAATAGGGGTCTATATCCACTGGTCACATGTAGATGTCATATCAGAACATCTAGAGATTAGAAAAACATGCTGAAGTGACCTGAATCTGCCAATGACCGTTGCATCTAAAAATCATAAAAATGCATGTTTCACAAACAAACACGATCATTTTTTCTCACAATTTCAAAATCCTCAATTCAACTGTACTATTGCATACCGTGGTATCATCACTGATAAAAATATACGCCCACATTTATGTGTGGGACTTTTTCGGCGAGTTAATGTGAAACAAATGACTATCTTTGTGCCTGCACAAAACCTCAAAAACAAGAATGCGCTATTTACAAAACCTCAAAATTCATTCAGAAATGGAAAGCGACTTCTTAAATAAAATTCCTCACGATTCCAAGGCCTCCAATTTTCAATATACAGGTTTCTCACCCTGAGGTTGGTTAGGGTGAATACACCAACGCTGTACTACCATCAATGGCATGCCTCAAATTTCTGAATTACCGAACCTCCAAAATCACGACCTTCTTTTTGTTTATCACCCGAACTCTATTCATCCAAAGCCATTTTTCTTTCATTACAATCTTCCTAGATCCTTCAAAATCCATCACTGATCAGAAATCAATTGGCACACCATTTCACTTGGACTGCCAAGGGACATCAATTCCCGTGTGAAGCAAATCAATCATTTTGGTGGATTTTGATTGGTCTGGGAGGCCAACAGTTAAACCTCCATAAAACTCACAATCATTCTCTCCATCCAAATTCTGAAGTCCGTTTCCATCAATTAACAAAGTACACCTGAAAAGTTTCAAATTTTGTACACTTCTCCACTAAAACACTACACATAAAATTGACATCGGCAAGAATTCACAATACGTCATCAAAAATTATAATACTTAAATTCCTGTTTCAGTGCTTTTGTACATGCATGTCTCCCAAACTTCCTAGTATACTCGCCTAAAATTTCCTGCTCCTGGAAAAGCTTTTAGAAACACCTGTTAGACTGGGCAATAAATGAAACATGCCACCTGGAAGGGGTTCTGAATATTCTCTCTGGTTATAAGATGCAACTTACTGCCTTAGATTTTACATTACATTAACCACTTGGCACTTTAGACAGTTTCTGAAGCTAACAGCAATATACACATTTGATACGTCAAACAGGCTACTGGTTAGAATATCGACAAGAATGTAATATGAATTTAGTGCTCTGAAATATGTGATTGCCGAGCTTTCAGTAACTGAGTACCTTCTTCAGGGCAAGCAGAACTGCCGAGCTTTTAGTAACTGAGTAACTTCTTCAGGGCAAGCAGAACTGCCGAGCTTTTGGTAACTGAGTACCTTCTTCAGGGTAACTGAACCGTAAACTCGGCAATCACATATTTCAGAGCACTGATTTGATATTATATTCTTGTCGATATTCTGATCACGGTGCTAAGCAGCCCTTCCATATTTGTCTAAGCTACTGGTTAGATGGGCTTATTCACATACACTGTTATTGGTCTCAAAAAATTCCAGGCTCAGTCACTCCACAATATCCCTTGACCTGGTGAAACACGGACTCTGCCCTTGGAAGAGGATTGTAGGAAGCGGATTGTCCAATCTCTGGGGAAGTGTGGTTTGAAACAATCTCAACTCTTCTGGATTTTTCTGGGACCAGAAGAAGAGCGTAACTTAGCAACCAGACTTAGATGCCATTACCAGGGTGATACTAGTCTTACGTGCAGGTCACGATGAATGCCTATTGGACCAAGCAGGTCTTTGGACTTGCCCCCCAAAAAATCACAGGCGTCAAGTTTAAGAGCACGTGGGACACAGTTGCATAGTCAGGCTCTTCTCAGGGGGGCAAGAATTCCCACACAGGGGGTCAGTTAAGTCCCCTTTCCTGCCTCCCGGCTATACCATCGAGTTTATAAAAAGACAGCCCTTTCAAGGACGTTGTTAAATAGGTCTACATTGTATGTCCAGACTAAAGCAACGCAATACAGATGACCTGGTCACAGCTCCCCCATCCCAATTTTTCCGGGGAGGGGGGTGGGATAAGAGTTGTCCCCACCCAGCTGCCACCACTGGTGGGACATGCACATGAATGTGGTGCTATCACAATAAATGCACCTCCTCTGATTTTGTCAGGCTTATCAAGTTTTACAAAATATCAAATAATGACCACCTACAACAGCTTCTTCACATCTCCCGTGTCTGGTACCCTTATGTTTATCAACATGGTTACAAGTAACAAGGTGGATACAATTATTCTTTCCGATGCAAAAAAGGATATCCAAAGGAACGATCAATGCATATGAAATACTTCGCCTGTACCATTGTGAACTGCTCTGAGGTACTGGAAGAGCCTTCTGTTGGACAAAGGTAAAAACAGTTCTCCATGGGTCAAAAAAAAGAAACAAATTTTACTAACGATGTTTCAATGTTGTCTATTCTGTGAAGCTTTAAGGATTCTTGTATCTTACAAATCAAATCTCCAAACCAATCCATAGGTGACTGTCTGAATTTCATAGTAATTGAAAATGCAGGCCGAGGAAATGTTTGTGTCAAACTCTCCAACTGTCACGTCACTCAGCAAAATATACAGCAAGTACGAACACGCATAAATATGAATTAACACAGCACTTGGTTGCCACGGATACAGTGCTCTGGTTACTATGGGCACAGTACTCTGGTTGCTAAGGACACAGTACTTTAATTGCAACAGGTACATGCAAAAGTACAGTACTTTTGGGGCTAAAATAGTTCAAATACTGGACGGTCGACAGTTCAAATTTGACAGCATGATATTTGGAGACTCAACAGGCGAGGTATTACTTCTCTTAATTTGAGTTGCAAATGAACACAATTTTATTTGGCATTGGCTTTGAGTTACCAAGACTCAATCAATAAAATCAAAACATGTTCATCAATCTTGGTTTTCTCTCTGCTCTGGGTGCAATCTGTACTGCGCATGGCCCAGCAGTGTATCAGATTGTGTGAACAACATGACGGATGCCTCATCTCACCATTCATGATGGCGTGTCTGAAGATGACACAATCACGTTTGACTTCGCATAATATTAACAGTACCAAACGTGAAATTAAAACACAGTTCAATATTTAAATCAGACCAGGTAAATCAAGAACTTGACCTGTATTCTTCTTTAAAATTCAGTTCACCTCCAAGTTAGTCTGAGCAACTAATTTCTCAGCCCTGGCTGAGTACCTGGTTCTCAGTAAACTCGGCCGTCGTCTATCTCATATAGACCATACTGTTCGGTGAATAAAACTCAAACACCAAGAAAAAGTGCCACTTTCAGGAGCAACTCATGCTTAAAACAACAACGTAACTATAGCAATCTCCGTGGAAATTTCTCCTCCAAAATTTCCACTTGATGAATTAATCAAAAATTCTCGACTCATGAAGTCATGACGCAGGCATTGAAATGTAGCCCATTTTACCAGTGATGCATGCACTTCAGGTTACAACTTTTGTTTCTGGCTAAAAATGACGCTGTGCTTTAATGCAGCGCATCTTTCCAGTAACCGCCACGTGCAGCTGAATTCTGACAATCACATTTTCAAAGCGTCCAACTTTACGGCATGCCTTACCCTGTCAAAAATAAACAGTTTCTCAAAGACGAAATCACAAATCAGTATACTTAATATTTCAAATGTAAATTGCACGACCAATGACAACACTTCCTTATTTACATTACAATAAATAAAATTTATGAAATAGTATCATAGAAAGAAGTACAGTTTGACAAGTAAAATTTCACACCTGTTTCACATCATAAAACGGTGTAAGAAGTAAATCAAAATTGATAGCTTTATTGCAACAATGGCGTTGAGTATCTTGAGGTAAAAATGAACGTAGTCGTCCAATTCAACATCACATCATCAGACCCAATCACGGGGTTGTCGTTTTCTCATCATGACATTTCCTAGTCTCAACGTTTCAACCATCACTGAATCTATTCCCCCACAACGTTGATTTGTACATGTTTACATTCCTATCCAGTCTGACGTACATATCACCTTCATTTCTTGCTTGCTGGCTCCCTGCCTTTCTGACATGTCTGGATGTCGATGTCCGACAGCGAGTGCAAGACACGAATGAATCAATCTCAAGTTGAATTGTGAGATGACAAAGTTTGCCAAACCTCAAGCTGTTAGATGGGCTGCAGGTATTTGTATGGAAACAATCCCGTTTGTTTCCTGCTACATACATGCACCCAACCGCCATCTTCATTGGAGGTCTGAATCACCACCTGACAAACCAAAAGAAGAAAAACAAAATAATTCTGATGATTGCAAAGCTACCTGGGCAGGAGTGTGATAAATTCCAAGATGTGGCCCAACCTAACAACTAGGCCATAAGTCAGCAGAACAAGTTGTAATCTCAGGGAATTTAAATGGATCTTGAACAAAGGAGTTTGCCAGGAACCCTCACTATTTTTTACTTCATAATGCCCATCTGCATCAGGATTCTGAACTGATATATCAAATAAAGAGCTAATTTTAATACTTTGCAATGTTTAAAGGAGCAGAAAATGGTCTCATTTTAGCCTCACTCTGTGGGGTTTCAGTCACAAATTTCAACCCTTGAGAATTAATTAAGAGAATGTTTCCCCTGGGGAAAAAAAATGGAGTGAATGTAAACTGACTTGATCTTTCTTGAGAGCAATCCCATCCTTGACGTCTTGCGATGCTTTGTAGGTTCGCGTTACTCTCACCACATGTTCCCAGGGCTTCAGTGATGTCACGCAAAAGGAAGGAAAGAAACCACACTCGCCGTTCAACTCTCCCTGGGAAAAACCATGAGGGGAAAAGTTTATTTACGGTTTGCATCAAAATAACAATACAAACACTTCAGTTTACTTTTAAGACAAGCTGAAAATGAAATAACTCTGTACTCCTTTCATTTTACTTTCGTGAAAGTGAGAAGAAGTGATAAAGAATTTACATTCCACTACTCTGTGCTCATTTCACTTCATAAAAGTAAATTAAATGAAACCGCATTCCACCATTTCATATAATTTAATTTCACTTTTGAGATTTGAAATGAACTAAAAGTGAAATGAAACGGACTGAAACAAAACAAAACAAAATGAATAGTGCTGAGGTATGTACCTTCCACCACTCTGTACTTCTTTTATCAATCACATGGACACGATCGCCGGCTCTAGAAAAAGCAGATGAAACACTGAAATCATCAAATTAAGGATCATTTGTAGATACACGCCAGGTGATTCCCAGATGAAGCAACAATCACTGATCACGCTTAATTTCTAGACTTAATGTTTGAAGAAAAGTTTTCTTCGGACAGTCAGTTAAAGAAACATGATAAAATCAGAGTGCGGCGCTCAGGACTGTGCGTAGTGGAAGATTTTGGAGTAATTTAGGGGCTTCCATTTGACCAAAGAGTGAGAGAATTGCTTCTTAAAAACTGATGAAGTTTTCACCAGTGAAATTTTACCTCAGAGACAAGTCGTCTCTCATCATGCCTTCAAAGTTATACAAAGCCACAAAGTCTTGATCATTGGAGCTTGGACTTGATGACTGCAAGAAGAAATGAAGTGGTTTATGACTTGCTCTTCAATTCACGAAATGCTTGGAAACAATGTAACAGGAGTGAAGACAGCATGTTCAAAACGAAAAATACATGACGAAAGATGAACACAAAAAACACTTGACTTAAATTTACTGACTTTCATCCCACAATACTCATGCAAAACATGACACATTGAAACTGATTTAGGTACTTGTTTACTTGGTTAGCCAGTAAAATGCCAAAAACATGAAAGCTGTAATATTGCTTGATAAATACTAGATGCCAAGCCCACAAATGAGTAAATCGTAATTTGCATTCAATATGCATATGCTTATTAGCAGCATATGAATTAAAAAAACTGCAATTTCAAAATCACATTGTGATTCACATCATCAAAATTCACGTCCCAAAAATTCACACTCCCAAAATTTACAAAACCAAAATTCACAATCCCTAATTTCACAATTCTAAAAATCACAGTCTTAAAATTCACATTCCCCCAAAATCACAATTCCCTTGTCATTTCACATCTAGGGTTAGCATTAACTTTTGTTACACCAGCTTCAAACACCAAACTCTTCATACAAGGGCAGATCCGGGGGAAGGGTAGATCTGGGGGAAGGGTAGATCTGGGAGAAGGGTAGATCTGGGGGAAGGGTAGATCTGGGGGAAGGGTAGATCTGGGG